ACACACACACACACACACACACACACACTCCCCTCTCCATAAGTCTCACAGCAGCACCAGATTGGGGCTTTTCATATCGACAGCCCTGTCGTCTCCTTTACTTTTACTCCCTCTACTGAGAATTCAATCACTAGCCTCCTCCATCCCTTCTTCCTGTCCTTCCTTTCCTCCCTTTTGTCACCGTGTCCCTCTCTGTTATCTTTGTTCCCCTCTTCTTCTTTCTCATCTCCCCTCCCACCCTCCCTCCTGAGTTTTATCACTCATCATTACCCACGGGATTGGCTTTAGATGGCTGATAGAGCCTTTTGGCTAATTGTCGCCATTTAGATTCACTGGTTGTTAACCAGTCAGAGTAATCACACACACATCCATGCATTTACATTACGGCTTGAACACGCAGACACAGAGTGCCACACACACACATGCTGGGAGCAGTGAGGGGGTGTTGGTGGTTTTGCAGTGCGACTGTGGAATGCGTAGGATGAGTTTTTATGGAGTGCTGTTTACTTTGGCCACCACCGTTAAACTTTTAACGGCTGCCAATTAACGGGCCGGCAAGGACACTCTGTGGGGCATGAAACCAGCTGCTGAAGAACACACACATATACACACACACACAGATACACAGTCCTAGCCTTTTGGCCCCATAATGTATTCATGTACTGAGCTTGTGTGTATGTGCATGGTGACTGAGGTGATTTTGCAGCCCCCCACCACCTACCCAATGCCCCTCTCTGAAACCACCATGACGTCCCCCGCACATACACACACACCCACGCTGACCCTCACCCATCCATACAGCCTTCCGGCCCCTATCAACACAACCACCAAGACCTCCTCTATTTCTCTATCCCATGATGCAGTTCAACGTCCTTGAAGACAAGGAACAGAGTGGAACGACCGTTTACCTCCCAGTGACCTCCTGGGAGAACTGTGTGTGTGTGTTTTTGAGTTTCAGGGGTGGTGGTGATTCTTCATACTATTTGTCTTGGGTTTCGGAAAAATGTGTTTTGTAGAAGAGCAAATTCCATCCAGTTAAATGCTGCAAACACTTGGCAGTAGCTGCCGGCTGTGGTTTTTGTCACCACTTTGTCCACTGTAAATAATGTCAACTCCTGCAGCGTGTTTGTGCAAAAAGTGCGTTTATGGTGAAGTAGCACTAACTGGCCATATTTTTTTTCTGTGTTTTCCAAAATGGCCCTATTCCATGATAGATTGTAGAGATAAACTGTTTGTTTAGAGGGCTGCTGAATGTCAACACTGCAGAGAAACATCAATTCTTTCTCACTCTCCCTCCCTCTGACAGGGTACCCCAGCTATTCAGGAAGTCTTGCCTCTCCATTTCTCCCCATGAGTCCCCTGGATCACCATAGCAACGGTCTCTATGGACAGCACCGCTTCTATGAAACTCCAAAAGGTAGGTGGTGGTGTGCGTACAGATGTATCGGACTGGAAAAATAGCATAGTATATATACTTTCTTAAAATGACTGATCAGCACTCACCACAGGAGTAAGAACTGGCAACGTGGAGCTTTTCAGGCTGACATTTTCTTTTAATCATCATTTTTTTCCTCAAGATATAAGACATATAGTGATTTAATTAAATCTTCATGAAAAGCAGCTGATGTTCATACCTTAAGCCATTCATTTGATATCTACTCTTCTTCTCCCAGATCACTTCTACCTGAGAGGCCTTCCTCCCCAGCCCCCTTTGCTCTCCACCAATCACAGCCTTCCCCCTTTGTCCAGGACTGCCCCAGGCCACCCTCTTGGCTCTTGCAGCCGCGAGACAGACAACGGGGGAGGAGGGGGGAAAAGCACCAAGGATGTGAGTGAGAAAGGGGTGTCATCTGTGTCGAAGGACAAGGAACGATCAAGCAGCAAGGAGCGACACCAGGAGAGCAAAGACAAACACCATCAGCTCCATCATCACCATTCTCATCAGACGAACTCTGCCACCACTCCGTCAAGCTATCACCACCAAGCTTACCCCCACCCTCACCATGCCCTTCTTCCTCATCTCACACCCCAGAGCAGGGAGGAGGACCACAGACACTCTCTGGAGCGACACAAGGAGTACAGAGACAGTGACTCAGGAAGCCAGGGGACGAAAAGTATGAGCGCCTGTAAACTGTCCAGTGGTTCGGGGTCAGAAAGTGGCTCTGGAGGAAAAGGGGTAACAATGAGCAGTTGCAGTGGTGGTGGGGTGGGCAGATCTCCGTCTGGAGGTGGCAGGCGGTGCTCCAAGGATGGACTCATAAACGGGGAGATGAGGATTAGTGAATCCTCAACTTCCTCCTCTGAATGTATGAGACGAGGGACGGCTGCAGCAACAGCCATCTTGTCACCTCCTACTCCCCACTCTGTGGCCTCCTATTCAATGCCTCCTCCTCCCCCTCCGCCACCTCCTCCTCATGCCTTACACATGGGTGCCACAGTCACAGGAGGGTGGATACACCATGCACATAACCACCCTCATCCTGAGTTTTACTGTTCCCCTCTTACACTGACGCCCTCTAAAGATACCACTTCCCCCCCTGGAGGGTCTGGCAGGGAGGCAAAAGTCATTGGCCCAACATATGTGCCATCAGTTGGGCCACTGGGAGACCTGGCAGCCCCTGAATGTCGTGGTGCAGGAGGAGGTGGGAGAAAGGGAGATGATAAGAGTGGAGAAGGATCTTATGAAAGTCCCTCTCATCACCTCAGCCGACTTAGCAGTTGCCAGAAGAAGGACAAATCCCAGCCACACCAGCAGCAGCTGGGATATGGCAAAGCTGACAAACCCCCTGACTGGAATCACCAGACACAGAACTTCCACAAACCCAATTCCAACATGAGCTCTCAGCCTGAGCTGCGGTCCTGCAGCCTGGAAAGATCTTCATCTTTTAGAGATGTAGAGGTTGTGGATGATGTTTACCGACCTTCACACTCACTAGATGGCCAGGGGACACACCCTGCTGCTGGACAGGGCACTTCCAAGAATGGCTCTGATACCAGCACTCCTCCCTTTAGGGACTGTTCCCACTCGAGTCCTCATCCTGATGGGAAGGTGGGATCAGGGGCTCAGAGGGAGGGACAAAAGGTTGCAAGGATAAGGCACCAGCAGCATAGCAGCCATGGAACTAGTACAGAAGATAGGTCAAGAGACGGAGGTCAGACGGCACCTTCCTGGGGGGGTCGAGGGGGCAACCAGGAGGACCAGAGAAAAGGTTCCCATCATGCTTCATTTGGCAATGGTGAAGTAAGAGGGCTTAGCAACAGAGCTTCAAATAATGACCACAATCAGCCCCATTCTCAACCCCCTCCACCTCTGTCCCGTTCCACGTCACACACCACTGAGGATGAGGGCAGTGCCATGAAGAACTTAATGAACTACAGCTCCCAGCAGCCATTACTGCTGCCACAGCGGAGCCCTTTCGGAGGCCTGGGCTGCCTCAAGCAGGGAGAAAGATCAGAGAAGGGGGACAGAGGAGGAGCTAAGCGAGACCCTCTGCAAGACCCACTCAAACAGTCGCTCCCTCCTCGCCGGGGATCCACTAACGAGGGAGAGAAAGGTGATAGAGGTGGGAAAGAGTCAGGGGACGCAGGAGAGGGGGAGGTGCGGCAGCCTCCAGTGGGTATTGCTGTTGCGGTAGCCCGACCACCCCATCGTTCCCCAGACAACACCCCTGGACACAGCAGACAAGGCAGGGTGCTGCCCAGCATGAAAGGTCAGACATTATTTATGCTCCTTGCACTGAAAGTCAATTAATGCTATTTCTGTGCTTTAGGCTGCATTATGGGAAAAACCCTCAGTTGCACATTTGCGAACAGCTAATGGTGTTATACAGCATTTAAAAATATTTCACTTATTTTTGACACTTGCAAATAGCTTCGGTCTCTAAACTCACCATAATGCACATTCAGTGACACATTCATTATAAGAAGGCAGAGCTGCTGATTTCGTTTATAACACACCATGGATGAAAGAGGTGCCATAAACATAGCAGACATGAAAAAAGATGTCTACTTGGAAAGACTTCCAGGGCGTTGGGCGAAAAGGGCCAACACCAGTGTCCATACGCTCTAAACGAGAATATTCGAGAATATTCAGATTTCTGCCTCATGCATTTTCTACCCAGACGCAACCCCGAAAGATCTGGACATTTTCCTGTTGTTGTGAATGTGTCTGATCCTGACAATATCCAGCTGCATTTTTCACATGTGGAGGCAAACAATAAAGTTCATGTCTGAAAACAGCTTATGTGTACTTTTATTTTAATGGGCCAGAAAAATGTTTGAAGATGCAACCAAACCTCTTGATTTTTGATTTTTTTGGAGAATGACAGTAACTGTAATTACTGTTGTACTTGTTATTCAGGGGTGTCTCGCTCTGTGTATCCTCTTGGACGGGAGGCCGAGGAGAGGAAGAGGATGACAGAGGAGCAGATCAGCCTTCATCACCTGGACAGAGACAGAGAACTAATCATCAGGTAGTCTTAAATTCACCAACACATATGAACCCATATAGAGCATACATGCATCTCTTCATTTTTGCTCTCATCTGATAAGCTGCAGTTCTTTTATACTCTCTCAGTCTGAGGCTGTGCTTCTCTTTTCTCTCATCCCCTCACTCCATTTACTCTTCTCACCCTTTGATGTGGTATTTCCTTACCCACTCACTCTCTTCCTTGCCCTCTCTCTTTCTCTGAGATGAGATGTGGTGCATTAATATTATGGAGACTAATAGGAATCGAGTCTCTGAAGTATCAGGCTCTTGTTATGTAGTCATATTAGGGGAAGAAAACATATAATGAGAACTCATAGACCAGGACCAAGATGATGGCTGTTCCTGTTGCTGTCACATTTCATTTTCTCAATGAATATAATGGCGGTGGTAATGAAGATGACAATGATGAAGATAATGATCATAATGATAGTGATGATGACAATAAGAGGGATAATCTAGATAATGACAAAGTTCACCCTGCCTACCACCATGACAGGGAAAACAAGGATCGAGTGGAGTTCGCCAGGATCCACCCTTCTAGTAGTTGCCACGGTGACCTGACCTCCCACCTCCTGGTTCCAGCCAACCAGTTAGGGCCGGACCCTGCTGCACACGCTCACCACCACTGGATGCAGAGGACGGGAAGTCCATCCCTCTGGATGGGGCATTCATATGGTGAGTAGAAATCGACAGGAGCGCAGGAGTCTTTAATCACCTTACTTTCATTGGCTTCAGTCAAGATCAGTGTTTTTATCATTTTGCTAAAATCATGGAACGTAAAACACAGAAGGTTCCTCTGACTTCATTTTGATGGATGGTTTCTTTTGACTTTATTTTGTTCAATCATGACTTAATAACAATGAATAATAATGTTTTTTGAAAGGTTTTTCTAAGTAACATTTTCTAATTCAAGTGTTTATAATACTATATATTATTTTGCTTTACAATGAGACTGTGTTGCAAAAGCAATACGTCGATCTTGAGAAATGAAAACACTAAAATGGCACTCTTCAGAGCCGATTCCTCCACCAAATTCGGTCCCACTTAAAGATATCAGTCCCCTCTATAAACCTTTTTTCATTAAGATGTCTATATTATCTCTTGAAAAATTCTCTAAAATGTAGAAAAAAGCTTATCTTGCAATGTTAACAAAAGTGGAAAACAAAATCCTGGTACTGCCCCCTTAATCAAATCTGCTTGAAAAGTAAATAGGTTCTTCCTTATACCACAGCCTTTCACCAAGTGTCAGGAAAATCGGTTCAATAGTTTTCATGTAATCCTGCTCACAGACAAGTGGCGATGAAAACATAACCTCCTTGGCGAAGGTAATAACCTCCTTGGCAGAAATAAATAGCACATTTTATCACAAGTCCACATTATTCGTGTTTGCTGTATGCATCCCAAGATTTACCCACTTATCCACAACACCATCTATTGAAGTAGTAAAATAAGTATTTATATGTTGCAACCATTTGACTCTGCTGTGTGTCTGTCTTTTCTCCAGGTCTAAGCCATGTGGGAATGAGCCCCGGCTTCCCAACAGGTCTCCCCAGCCCTCTGCAGCCCGTCTTGGGGTCACTTACCCAAGACCCTAACTCCCAGCTGGTGGTTCTTCCGGCAGAACCAGGGCCTCATCATCATCTCGGTACGCTAAGCCGCCTTTTTACAACAGCAGCACACACTCACAGTGACAACCAGCAGAGCCTGTATTCACCGCTGTCTACCCGTACTTAACTGCCTCCCCTGCCTCCCTCCTTCTCTCCATTTGTACCATCAGAGCCGTTGCCATTTCTCTCCCAGAGTTTTAGTATCATTGGCTAATCATAATATAATGCTCAACTAAGTCCCTCTGTCAGTGGGGCCGTGTTTTATAGCTTCGTTAATGGGAGCAGCTATTCCATTGCCCCCTCTGCATGTGCCCAGCGTTATGCAAACCATTTTAACTGATATTCATCTCTCTTGTGGTGGCACACTGGTGTGTTTGGACTGGACTTTGTCTTAGTGCGTGTGTGTGTGTGTGTGCGTGTGTGTGTGTGGGTGGACATCTTAAGTTAGTTGTGTTCATGTCTGGAACACCATGAAACATTGCTCAGTGTTAAGGGTTGTGTTGTACATCTCAACCATTGCTAAAAAGAGAGAAGTGCGTGTGTGTGTGTGCGTGCGTGCGTGAATGCTGCTTTGCAAACAGGCTGTGAAATTTAATTATCTCCCGCCTCCCTTGCCTCGCTTCGTGGGAGTTCCTGCAGAGAGGGGAAGTGCATCCACTGAACCCTTCCCCTGGGAAACATTAGCCCACTCAGGCTAATCTCACAGAACAAAGGTTCCCAGCGACAAGGCAGCCAAGAAGGGATGTGTGTGTGTGTTTGTGCGAGTGTGAGTGTGTATCTGAATTCATATGCACTTAAGGTGGGGTTTGAAAGAAAATATGTGTTTCCCTGCACAGAAAAACATCATCATTAGAAATAGAATGGAGTGATGCAGTGTCCAGGATTCGTTTATTGTGTCTGGAGCCAATCCCACATATTCAAATGGGCACATTTAGAGTTCAATGACAAAATTTCTGTTTTCTATGTAAAACTTTTGCCCTGCTAATTATTTTACTGTTTATTTAAGGCCAAAGATGAATGATGTGATTTGTCAATAAAAATGCCTTTCTTTAAGACCTACTTCACATTTCCTCTCTTTCCAACTGTTTCTTTCCTTCAGATGTTTTGGAGCAGTCAGGACTGTGGCCTCCTGTCTACGGTGGCCGCGGCCCCCCTCCTCACCTGCAGCATCACCCTGTCTACTCCCGCTCCTCATTCCTACGGCAACAGGAGCTGTATGCCCTGCAGCACCAGCAGCAGCAGCGAGTCATGGAGCACATGCAGCGCCACACCATGGGACAGGTACAACTAATATTATAGTGTAACACTTGTGAAATTACTGTATTATTGTGAAACTGTGGGCAAAAATGAGAATAAGCGAAGTATGAAAACTTTGTGAACTTCCTTCTTTGAGAAGTCAGGGTTACAATACACCCATATTAATAATTTCTTTAAAGAAATCTCACTTAATTTCTCAACACTTAAAGAGAAAGATGCAAAATCTCACGTGATATTTATACTCCTTGTGTTGAAAAGAAGGTTTCATTGAGGAATATGTGTTGATATGTAGCATTTTTTGTCCTGTTTAAATAACTCATCTGCAAAAACACAGTCATAACTGTGAATTTATCAAAAATAAGAAGAATAACTAACTATTTAAATACGAATTACTACGGTGTTAACTCTCCTCGTCCTTTTTCACAGAGAAAACATGACGAGCATCCTATCACTATAGAAGACTCTCCTCATGAGTCTTCAGCGTCCCGCTCTGCCTCCTCATCCTCCTCCACCAACTCGTCTCATGCAGCCAAGCCCTTCTCTCACACTCCTCCTCCACCCAAGACGCCCACGCCGTCTCCGGGGATGTGTCCCTCCAGCCGCCACTCACCCTGCTACCACTCCCCGTCCAGGCGACCGCACCCGCCGAACCCTCTGACTCCTGCTCCGAGCCCAGCTGCCGCGGCTCCCCGCTCCCCAGCACTCAGCCCCGCTCCCTCGCACCTCTCCAAGGGGCTGGAGAGAGGCAGCGACAGAGGAGAGGGACAGCCGCCTCAGGACTACCCACAATCCCTAGAGCCAGGTAAGAGAAATGTATAGGCTATGCCAGACAAACAAAATCATTTAAAGACAAAGAAATAGAGAGATGGAAAAAGAAAGATAGTCAAGAAAGAGGGAGTGGGTTGGAGGCTGCAGGAATGTAAGACTCTTTGAAATGTGGTATTCTTTTGATTTTGCAGAATTCGTTTGAAGCATAGCTTATCCCTTGTTCTGTGTGTCCTTGAGTGTGAGTCTGTGTATGGGTATGTGCAGTTTTGTTTGTGTTCAAGTTAAAGACAGACAGCAGGCGGGTCGGCCTTTAAGGTCAGGGAAAAGCATATGGGCGCTCAGTGTGTTTATGTGTGACCAGCCAGCGTGCACGTGTGTCTGAGCTGACATGCGTGTCGTGAGACGAAGGTCAGTGATGTCTTCAGATAGACCCTCCTTATCCTTCAGGGGTCCTTGAGAAGTATAGGTGGAAGGATATGCATTCATTTGGCTGCGTTGTTGTAAATCTATGCACACCTACACAATTTAAATGTTATGCACTACTTAGTTATATTATGCATCAACATGTGTCTTAAAGAAAATGGAGCTGTTTTATGTAGATGCATGAAAATAAATGGGTTTTGTGTCAGAACACAAATTAAACCATTACTCGCTCCTCTTCTGTCCAGACTTGCCACCTGTTTACTCCTACCCTCCGATCGCCATGGGTTACAAGGCCGGGCCCTCACCTGTCGAAGCCCGATTGGCTGAACAGGCCACAGTGGAGACAGAGCCAGCAGAGCCCGACTCCAAGTCCCACCCACATCCGTGCCACATCCAGCCTCTCACACAAGAAGAAGAGAGCAGGGAAGAAGAGGAGGATGGATCGAGAGACTGTGAAGTGGTGGAATTTCAGAGTGGAATCACTGAGGAAGAGGAGGGGGAAAGAAGGGCGGAAAAGAGAGGATGCTCTGTCTCCGAGCCAGGGAGCAAGATTTCTGGATTGCTGCCATGCCCTTCCCCGGCTCCAGTCCCAGATCCAGCCAGCCGGGCCACAGCCACGGGCAAAGCCCTAAAAGTAGATCTCTCCCTGGGTTATCCGGGCCAGAAGGCCAGCCTGGAGGAGCCCCAGCTATCCAAAGAGCAGGAGGATGATAGGGAGCATGGAAAGGAGGACACGGGGGAGGAGGAGGGCGAGAGAATGGAGCCCGACACAACAGAATGTAACGTCTTTGTGCCTGGAGAGCCCAAAGAGGAGGAGAAAGGGGAGGAAGAGGAGGACGGGGACAAAAATGGAAAGGATGTAGAGGTGGCTGTGGATGAGGAGGAAGTGAGAGGGATGAGTCCCGTCAAGGACCTGGCGGAAGTCCTGTGTAGCTCTCCTGCTCCCTCCCCGGCCTCCGACCCCTTCCTGCCTCCCTTAGCAAGCACAGCCGCCCAGCTCCAAGGGGCCTACATGTGGAGCCTGGAGCTGCTGATTGCTGCCGCTCTGTGCGCCACCAGGGATGCCTTGTACCCACCTGCACCTGTCGCCCGGGCCCTTAGCCCCCCAACCAACAATGGCATGGAGATACTGGGAGAGCTGGCTGAGTTGGAGATTCAGCAGAGGAACAGGGAGAGCACAGAGAAAAACACTGAAGGTGAGAAGAAAATGCTTTTGTTTCTTCAGCTGTGGCCTTCGATTGTCAAAAATCGGAAATTTTCAAACCGCTTCTGAAAGTATATAAAATAAACCCCCACCCCAGTATTTCCATGTATCCTTTCATTACACCCACTGCACTGTTGATACTCTCGCATTAGAGGCAGCAGGACTAAAACGCCTGTGAAAATGAGATCAAGAAAGATAAGAAAAAATATCGGTTACCCTACTTCTTCCTTGTCTACACAAACACAAACACAAACACACACACACACACACACACACAC